AGATTCCACAACCTCCCTAGGCAATTTGTTCCAGTGCTCAACTACCATCTGGACTTTCTCCAATTTGTCCACCTCTTTCCTGAAATGTGGCGCCCAGAACTGGACACAATACTCCACAATCACAATAAATCAACACAATAATCTGCACTCATATTGTACAGTTTAGCCAACCTGCTTTACAAAGCTGGGGCAGTGTCCTTCTCCCAACAGGGAAACTGAGGCCCAATATCCTCCCCTCCCCCCCCCCCCCCGGGAGTCCTGGCTCGCAATTCTACCCGACTGCACCATCGCCCACTGGAGTGGGCTGCGCTGATGTGGGACGTGTGTTTCATGGAACTTCCCACATGGAGTTCAGAGAGAAGTTTCTTTGCCTTGATTAGTTTCATACACCACTTAGCAAATTAGAACCACCACCAGGCACTAATCCCGGGCTGTTTTACAAACACTCCTGTCATTTCCTCCTTCCCACCTCGCTGATTATTCCCCTGCAGCTGAATAATTTGTTGACATTTCCTTCCCCTTCCCTTAGACAGTATCTGTGACCACAGCTACATCAGCCCAGCTTGCCATTACATTAGCTTGCACATGCTAAGCCGGCTGTGCCTGCTTGGTATTTGGAAGGGAGGCCTGCAGGGCGAAAACAGCAATTCCCAACGCCCCAGCACGGTACCAAGTGGGGGGCAGGCTGTGGTTGTGTTTTTGGGACCAAGTTCTGGTGCTTATGGCAGAGTTATCAGTCCCACACACTCTGTATCTGTCATCGGCCAACCTAAATTGATCCTGTAGCTTCACCTGGCTTCAGTGTTCTCCTTCACTTCCTGTCTTCAATGACTGCGCGGCGTTCCTGAGCAGTGTTGCCTTCAGCCCCCGAGATAACTGCATCTCAGCTGTTGGTGAGACCATCCCGTATTGCAGTTACTACTTTGCATTTATCTAGCTCCTTCCCTGCTGAAAGGCCCAGTCCTGTCGAGTGCTACCAACTCCTACCACTGTCCACGGCGCTCAATAAACAGGGCTCAGCATCTCCCTGGGTTGGGCCAGAAACAACCAGAGGCCAAGGCTATCTTCTCAAAGAGGCTGCTCTTTGGGTTCCTGAGCTGCTAGATCATGGGCTCCTAGACCTAGAACCTCAAAAGGTGTTTAGGCTCCTAACTTCCCCTGAAACCAATAGACGTCAGAGGCCTAAATACATTTGAGGATCTGGGCCCTTATTCCTAAAACATGGTGGGATCCTGCTTCAGAGTGTGATCAGACAGGCCATAGCTGCTGCCAGTTGTGTTTAGCCAGGGGGGATGTAACTAATTATCTCCAGGGCTGCTAGCTGAAGAGTAAATATCTTCGCCCCCTTTCATCTGTACCAGGTGGAAGTCTGAGATCAGAGGGGAAGGTGACTTACAGCTGGCGGGACAGCACTTCAAAAGGGGCTACCGATTTCACTGCTCAATGGCAAATGCAAATAGACGGGAATGGTTTTCTCCCACGGCCTCTGCAACAACTTTCAGGAGAGGGCTCAAGCCACAGCATTCAGATCTGGATCGCCGGCGCACTGATCAGTCTCTGATTTATCACCTAAAAGAATGGCTCAGGCCTGGGAAACTCCTTCAAATCCTCTGCAGTGCTAAGGACTTAGGCTATTACTGAGCAGGGCTGGATGTGACATGGTGGCAGCTCAGCATAGCCCATTACCTAGTCTGAGCCAGCCAACCCCCTGCCTCTCATTTCTATGCAGCTACAATGGAACGGGATACTGTGCGTGTCCCCCTACCAGTATCCCTTGTCTCAACTACCTTCCTTCTCGGCAGAGACGTACTGGATAGAGGTTTCAGAGTAGCAGCCGTGTTAGTCTGTATGTATTAGAAATACCTCATTAGAGAATTTCAAATGCGATGACCCAAAAAGCCACTAGGTGTCCTCAAAGCGGCACACTAAAGCAACCCCAAGACTGTCCCGCTTCTTTGCCAGGCTCAAAGATTAGCAAGGCAACTCGCTGGAGTGGCAGGGAACTCAGTCCTGGCGACATGGTGGGTTTGCTAGGCCCCTCTGCCCCCTGGATTTCTGCATGCTGCTCCAGTGCTGCATTTTGGGCTATCGACTTGCCTTTGGGCTTCAGGATGTGACCCACGACCAAACAGCCCAAACAGCTTGAAAGCCCACATGGCACGTGACAGACCAGAGCAAAAGGCATCACAGTGCTGTAGGCCCATCACAGCCTATGCTCCCAGAATCCACTGAAGTCTTGAGTCACCCTGGAGAGACTATCTGGCCCAGATTTCCCCAGGCCTGGCAGAGAGCCTTCATTCCTGCCTCCCAACAAGAGTCTCATCTTTCTCCCTCTCCTTGACCTCGGAGGCAGAATCAACCAGCGGCGATCAGTCCAGACTTCTGCTGCACTGCCTCTGACTCACTGGCACTGCTTGATCTAGGCCTTACCCCGAACACAGGGCCTGGATCCAAGTGATGAGTATTAAATCGGGCTGATCCCCCGGTTACAACGAACCCACGTCCAGGCTTTGCATTAGGGAGCTGGAGAGGATCCCAGAGGTTATTTTGCTGAACCAGGCCCCAAAGAGTTACATCACCATGGCAGCACGGAGTGCCCACCTCCTAGCGAGCAGGGAGTGTGGCCAGAGAGAATCTGCACCGCTGGGACTCATCTGCAGCAAATACTCCCCCCAGGAGCTGCAGCGTCAGGCTCAGGAAGAGGAAACTGGATTATTGGTGCTGACTTGCAAAATGCCAACATCTCACTGTGATGGGCCCACTTCTCCCGGCAGAAAGCACAGCCACTGAGAGCCGGTCACATCACCCTCCCACTTTACACAGGTGCGAACAACTGCAAAGCGGCAGCCGCTGGATTTTACACCCTCTTTCTCCCTTCCTTGCCTCATTAAGTGCCCTCTGGTGTTCCCAACAATGTTCTGCATCCCCTCACTCTGCTAGCATCCGCCACAGCCTGGCAGCTGGTGTGCTGGGCAAGAGAAATGTATATTTTGTGCAAGTTTAAAAAGGATTTTTTTTTTCAGTTTGTTTGAAATTTCTGTGATTTTTTTTTTAACAAAAATATGTAAATGAGATTTTTAAAGTTGTTCAAAAATTACAACGTTGTAACAACAAAGATTTCCCTGCTGTCACTAGGCCACACGCTGGGAACTTCACAACAACTGCAAGGATAGAATTTAGGTGCTCATGGCTTAGAGCTCAAGTCCCTGCCATTTAGGAATTCCCATTATCCGCTAGCAGTATAGGGCCTATGACACACAGCTGAGCCGTTCTGACTCTATCCAGGAGAGGGCAGTGATACACAGATGCACAGTATATGACACTATTCAGTAGGGAACAGTCCTGCACTGGGCTGAGAAGGGGCTGGACAAGATGTGCTCTTGGAGCTCTTTTCGATCCCTGGGTTATAGCACGGCCTTGGTGTAGTTACCTTGGGAGGGCAGAGCTCCTGTGTCTCACGCAGCATCTGCTATGGGAAGACGGGCGGCCGATCAACAATGGCTCGGTTATCACCGGTTACAATCGGCTGTGGCTGCTGCGGTGCTGGGCTGGCTCTCTCCCTGCTCCCTGTAGTGTTGTGGGAACGTAATCTGGTGACGACCCCGCTGCCAGGCGTCTGCCCTCAGAGAGGGGGAGCAGCCCAGCAGAGGAACAAGCAGCTCACGTAGGGCGGGAGGCTAAGCAGCAAAGCACTGTGAATGGGCCGGCTGCCCAAGAGACAGCTAAGCCAGGTGGTCCTGATCTGGGCGCACCGGACTTGGCGTGCCAGGAGCTCTGCAAGCACCTGTGTCTCCGCTCCTTTGGCTAATTGCAGCTACCTTTATGGATTGTTTCAAAGTGCTAAAACTACCTCAGGGCCCCATTTCCCTGGGCTTTCTTGGCCCTACGGTGGCACCAGTACCCCAACCACCCCACCCTGCCATGGCAACAACCCCCCATCCGTCCCCAGCCCTGTGGTAGCACAAATGCCCCAGAGGCCTTGTCCCCAGCCCCTCTCATCCATTGCCTGGCCCCTTAGCATCTCCAGTCACCGCTACTCGGAACATGTTAACAGTCGCCCCGTGCTCTGCACTCCCAGCAGGCCTTTCATCCTAGAATCCTAAAGTAGCTACAAGTCCAAACAGCAGAAGGCCAGGGCGGTAGCAGCAAGGCTGAAACACCCTTCCATACCCACGGCTATAACCACCCAGCCAAGAAAACGGTGCTCAACCTCCCCTATTGCAGACAGGCCCAGTGATTGCTCTGTGCTGGTACGAGTCACGTTTAAACAGGACTTCGCTTGAGCCGCATGGATAGGGATTTCCTTCTGAGGACCGCGCAGGCCAGCCACCGGGAGAAGCACAAGGGCTGTTTTAGAACATGGTGACAGCACAGCTGGTAGGAGAAAACGAACTCCCCTTCTCTGTTCTGATCAGGGAAGCGCTCCCTGCTAGCAGCCGGCTTGTGCCATGGCTCTGCCCAGTGCAGTGTGGCCAGGGGATTAGCATGGGCAGCTATGTCTGCCTGCCCAGGGAGAGCCTGGCTTTGTTCTCATCGACAAAGCCTGTCACCGGAGCGCTTGCCCCGTCACAAATAACGTTGACAACCACTGGGCTCTTTCAAAGGCAGGAAGCACGGAAGGGTCTTAGGCGGTTTACACCTGCGATTGGCTCTGGCTAAGCCAGGCAGCTTCCTCTCCCCAACCTCCCGCCCTGCAGCTACACCCTGGCTTGTTCTGCACAGGATGGGGAGGGATGTTCACTGGTAAATCCCAGTTTCCTCCAAGGCGAATGACTTTATTAAGGAATGTAGACAATAAGCCAGCGAGGCTGGGGGCTGCAGCAGCGTGAAGGCTGCCCTAGTGCAGGGCCTTCAATGTCAGTCTGTACGCTTGCTAGAGACAATAAGAATTTCCCAGGCTGGCTCCCCCTCCCTTTAGTCCATGCCCCAGCTTTGCAGCTCCCCAATTTGATCCCTCTGTAGCAGGGAGGAACCTACAGAATCTCTCACTGCAGAGAGCCTTTGCTCAGCAAATACAGGTTTTAATTGTGCTGCTGCTATGAGCAAGAATCGCAACCCATCCATCAAAGAGCATTTGGCCACAAACCACAGATACAAATTTAAACAAAACCAAGGAAAAGGAAGAGACCACTGTTGCATTCTGGCTTCTCTGTGGGACGCGTGTACGTAGAGGTGGGTCCAAAGCCATCCCCTAAACTCTTGGAGTGTTGGAAATCCAAAGTTAGCTCGGGGTCAAGGTTTTGCAAATGGTCTTTTATCTGTGAAGTGAACCAAAGTGAAATCCTGGATCTGAACACCCTGGAGCATCATGGGCATTAAAATCCCGACCTGGAACCAGATCTGAATGTTGCAGCTCGGCCCCATCTCTGTGTCAGATCTGCCTGTTCTATGCTAAATGCAGAATCATCCATTTGCTTCAAACAGTCCTCAAACTAGCCCTCCATGCCTCCATCTGTCAGAGCACGCCCAGGAGTGCTGGCAACGCTTGGCTTCAGCTCCGGGCACAAGCAATGGGCAAAATCTACAAGTTAATGGGCAATGAAGTTGCTGTCAATCCAGACATGGACTGGCTCCTCTCTGGCTGACGGCGCTCACCATCCATTCTAGCTTATATGATTAGGAAGTTCCCCTGTAGCTCGCCAAGGGATTCTGCGCCGGGAGGGATGTCTTGCACCCTGGGTGCTTGGCAAGCATAACGTCACATCAGAACAGGAAGGCTGGTTCCACCCAAACAATGGAGTCAGTGGGGTTTCTTTAACCAGCGTGTCTGGCTACACAGGGTTTTCATATGAACGCTGCAGCTCTGAGCCACGGTTAGAGAAGCATAGTAGAGTATGAGGACGTAGCCCCGGCATACCCTGATATAAAGGGTCCTTTCCCAATGGTGGGGGAACACGATGTTCTGGCTCCATGGGGCGCTCTTCTCAGCCAAGCTCCTTCTTGGACCTTTGCAGGTGGTCAGAGTGGATCCCCCCCAACCAAAGTGCTCCTCCTAGGCTGGTCAATCTCTCGCACTGCGGTACAAGGCTGGTGCGTTCTTCAGCAATTCGGGGCTGGCATAGGACCGAGGGGTCCTGGATGGAGGTGGAGATGAAGGGGTGATGCCCCTGGGTACCGAGACTGGCTAATAGACGATCAGGAGCCCCTGCTGGCCAACAGCTTCAGAGTAGCATTAGCTTCAGAGGTGTGTGCACGAGGGTGGGGTGCTGCCTACCTTCCCCGGACGTCCTGTGAAGGCAGCTAGAGGTGCAGCAGGAGAGAGCAGGGTGCAAACTACGCGAGGCTGATCCTGACAGCATCACTGCCACTGCCACTTTCCCAGGATCTCAGAGCTGGACTTGCCAGGGGGTGGGAATTGGAAAGGGGGTGGCTAGGAGTCAGAGACGCACAGTGCCTCCACTGCATCACTCAAGCCCTGGTTCACTCCGCCAACGGCCAGCAGGCAGTTCTTCACCACGATGCTGGAGCAGGTGCAGCGGGGGGTCGGCATGGGTGGCAGGCTCTCCCATTTGTTCTTCCCTGGGTGGAAGGCTTCAGCTGACTCTAGGACCGTTGGCTGGTTCCCTGAAAGAGCCAAAGTGGGATGGCGGGGAGGGGGGGAGGCAGGGAGAGGAGGAAGAGCAAACGTGTTGTGGAGACAGGATAAATATATAAAAATAATGGGGGGAAAATCAGATTTGAGCAGAAAAGAAATTTGGGGCAATGATCCAAAAGCAGAAATGGCCTCATTCTGTCATCTCTTCCCCCCACCTCCCATGAGGATGCTACATAGAACAAAGACTTCTCTGGGTGGTCATGCAGAACCCAAGGTGATACCTGCCAGCTCCTGCTCACGCTCCTGCTTCCAGTCTTGCTCACTCTGTTCTTTGTGTTAATCATACCAATAAAAATAACAGGAGTACTTGTGGCACCTTAGAGACTAACAAATTTATTAGAGCATAAGCTTTCGTGGACTACAGCCCACTTCATGCTCCCCCTCCCTTTAGTCCATGCCCCAGCTTTGCAGCTCCCCAATTTGATCCCTCTGTAGCAGGGAGGAACCTACAGAATCTCTCACTGCAGAGAGCCTTTGCTCAGCAAATACAGGTTTTAATTGTGCTGCTGCTATGAGCAAGAATCGCAAC